CTACCACGGTGCCTACACCAGCTGAATTTAGCCACACGCGGATCGACCTCGTTTTTGGTAATCGCCGCCTATTGGTGTGCCACCATTGCCGACGTCATAACTAAGTCGTAACTAAGGGCGAGTTCTCATGAGCGTAAGTTGACATTTCTGGCGTAATCACGTGATAATATGGTGTAATTTGATTGGTAAAATCTCCAGCATGGCGAATATTTTACCAATAAAATCTAACCATTTTATCACGTGATTACGCCAAAAATGTCAACTTACGCTCATGAGAACTCGCCCTGCGATTTCGCCTCAGTTTGGTACCCCAGTTTGGTCAGTCAAACAGGTACCATTAATTTCGGATGAGTGAATGATGCTGTCACAACAACTTTGGTAGGCCCTTTGGTCTGTCAGATGCTATACCGCGGTTTGACTGGGTTGTGGAGGTTTGGTAGCTTTCTGTTTCTTTTTCTCTCATCTCCAAATAAACATATCAAAGTCAAAATGTACCAAACGCCCTATCCACTGAATTCGGATGAGATTGTTGAGTTAGGTACGTCACTTACGTACCAATTGGTTAACCATTCGCCTACCAAACAGCAGATGAAAATCTGGGGCGAAATCGCCTATAGTCGTTCCCATAGAGGTTCCTTGAATCTTCCTTGGATTCGTGAGTTAAGAATGGACACTCGCTACTATTTGACAATAGTCATGTCAATTCTAAATATTCAAGGCTTCCTTAAGGTCTGAGGAAACCTCAAGGACCGACTATAAATTCGGCCCTAAGTCGTCAGCTGTTTAAACAGCCTACGTCACAACTGGTATATTGGCATGGGGGGAATTTGTTACACACAGGCATTATGAGGATAGGCCATCCTGTAGTAGTTTGTATCTTTTTTTTGCTGTTTTTGAACCAATTTAAGAAATAATATTATATTATTGAGCTTCCGCATTTATACATATACATGTATAGTAAATATGTTCAAAATTTATTGATGCGGCATTGGTGCGGCCAGCCTATGTACAGCCAAATTAACCTTGAACCACGAATTCGCCGCTCTTTCGCATCTGTATGTAGGGGTCGAATTTATAGTCGCTCCTCGAGGTTTCTTCAGACCTTAAAAAGGCCTTGAGCGTTTAGAATTGACATGACAAACTTGTCAACTAGTAGCAAGTGTCTATTCTAAACTCACGACCTTCAAGGAAGACCGAAGGAACGACTATAAATTTGGCCCTAGGTGATCTATGGTAGTATTGTGTATCATCTTTGCGTGATAGGTCACTAAAACCAGGGCCGCCGCTACCATATATAGGTGTTTTCTCGCGTCTCAAATGTTTTAAAATCTTTTTCAAAACTGGTTTAAAACAATGTCACATGACGACATAAGTTTTGGCGCGAGAAAATGGTTTGAAAACGTGGATTGGATGGTATTTCGGAACGGTTTGAACCAATTTTATTGTGACGTCACGAGTTCATTGCGAGAATATACCTACATACCAGTTTCAAAAAAATGAACGCGAGAAAACAACTCATTTGTGCAGTGTGTTCAAACCACACAGGCGGCTAGGTTTGCCACCTCTCTGGGTTTCACCCGGAGTCTACGGGTTTTTACATATGGTCTCCGGGTTCCGGATTACCAGGTGTTTTCTCCGGATAAAACCGCATTTAACAAAAAAAAACGCATTTAAAAAAAAACATAAAATTTAGCAACAGCGCAATCCTGTTTGTGCAAATACGGTTTCTCTCGGAGAAATTGAAAAATTCTCCGACTTCGACACGCACGTTAGCGATAGACAGCCCACGAACCTCAAAGCCTCATAATCTCCCTCAAGGATATTAAACACTACTACAGGTCTGCTCATCGGACTTGATTTTTGGAATCTGTTTGCGTCAGCGGTCGTAGTTTAAAATATACATTTATGAAAAGAAATACTATTTAATTTTGATTAACATAATAGACAAAGAAGAAGATGTAAACAAAATCTAAAAAGGAGTTGTTTTAGATTGTTAATTAATGTTCTAAAACCAAGTATGCATAAGCCAAAAGCCTGCGGAATCATAGTCTGTGGTGCAAACACCCTACTTCAGGGCGAGAAACGACACGCTGCCTACGTCATCACCGGTTCTTTGGATCTTTGGCGTGGTGGGGGGCTTGAGATTTGATCTACACAGGCCTTATGAGGATAGGCTATTCTGTTTTAGTGTGTAATATTCTTGAATCTTTTTCTCCAACCGTCGCAACTCCCAACCTCAAGCAAAGTTTCCTCAAGCAACATCCGGTGATGCTGTGGGGGGGGGACTTGTGTATATACATATAGACAGATAGTAAAGTGTAATGTATCTGTTGCATTGTAGATCTGCAGATTTTCTTTTTCAGCTTTCTTTCAATAATGTTTTTTTTTTTCTCCGGTTCAACTTACTTTCAAAGGTGGCATCGATCCCTACAGGCGGCCGATTGAAAAGGGTTGTCGCCGCCGATCCCGATGCAAAAAAAAAAATCATGTACGGCGCCGTACACGTGGTAGAAGTGAAACTAGGTAAAAACTATCCCCCCCTCATACAACTTTTAGACTAGTGTATGTATAAGTCGGAGTGAAGACGAAGGACCACATAAAAGGGAGACACGCATTTGTAGTGACGACACAAGGGTGTCGGCGCTTGACAATAATAGGCAATCCTCCTTGATTATAATCCTTGGGTTGTGTCAATCGTTCGTCGGCCGAAATTTCCCAATACAATTTATTTTGAAGTGGTGGCACGGCGGCGCGGCGGACTGATATTTGGACGAGAATGGAGAGTGATATAAAAGGCGCGTCACGTTTTGGCAAATTTCGTTACACGAGAGAGAAGAAAAGTGTAACACAGAGAAACGGAGAAAGACAGCCAATGACAATGACAGCCGACGAACGATTGATATGAAGAGGATGGCCTATTATTGTCAAGCGTCGATACCCTTGTGACGTCACTACAGATGCGTGTTCCCCTTTTTTGTCCTTCCTTCGTCTTTACCACGACTCAAACGCTGAGTCTTGTCTAATTGTATTTTATTCCGACGCTTTAAATTTTGTACTTTAGAGGGGCGTGGGCAGGGACCCGGACCGGAACGATATTGGACCGAAAACCGGAACGAAACCGTTTTTTTTTGCGGACCGGAACCGGAACGAAACCCATATTCCATAGAAATGTTGTAGGACAGGCAGAACCGGAACCGATATAAATTAATCGGTTCTTACCGGTATTTTTCGGTTCCAAGATTTTATAAATTAAGCTGTTTGCTGTTTGGTTCTATCATATTAAAATTAACACTTTGAAAAACAGAGCGTTGGACATTGGACAGTGCGCATTTCTGAATTCGGCTAGGCTACACGGCTACACCAACACCAAGGATTTTACATACTACTACAGGATTGTTTGGAGTCAAATTCATATGGTGTTGCACCGTTGCTGACGTCATCAACGGTCTCGTTAGCGCTTTGCGTTCGTATTTAAGAAAATACATGTATGATGAAAAATATAAATTAAATTTGATTAACATAATAGTCAATAGACAAGAGGAAGATGCAAATGAGATCTAAACAAGGGTTGTTTTAGAATATTAAATAATGTACTATGGTTCTAAACCGTTTCGAAATACAATCCAATCCACGTTTTAAAACCATTTCCTCGTGCCGAGAAATTATGACGTCATTGTGAAACTGATTTAAACCAGTTCTGGAAAATGTTTCAAAACTTTGAGATGCGGGAAAACACCTCCTAATCCGTGGTGCAAGCACTACGTCAAGGCGAGAAACGACACGCTGTTACGTCATCACTGATCGAAAACACAAAAATTTATTTTTTAATAGTAATTATTATGATTATTAAAGTTGTTGCAGATAGGCAGAGAAATTCAAAAAAAATAAACCACAAATTATAGAAACATACATTTTTCTGTAATGACCGTTTTAAGGGATGTTTCTTGAAATGGTCAGTGCAAATGGCCATTAGATATTTGTGAAAAACTATACCGGTATGAACCGTTAAAACCGAAATTATTGGTCCGAACCGAATCGAAATATTTCTCTTAGAACCGAAACCGTAACGGAACCGATATTCGTCATGACGCTGTGGACCGGAACCGGAACGGAACCGATATTTCATTCCGGTCCGGGTCCCTGGGCGTGGGGCGGGGCGGCGAAAATTGTCTGGGCAGTTGGGCACACAGGCGGCTAACATCCTAGCGGCGGCTCTGAGTAAAACAGCTCGTTTCGACCAATATATGGTTATCCTCAGGATCATACCAGTTAAATCCTCTATGTTAACATTGAAAAATAATAAAAAATAATCCTTCAACAACGCCAATATAAAGAACTCGCCATATTATCTCTGATATACCATTAAACTCAATCATTATGTTCCCTATTTTTTATTATTTTTTAATGTTAACACAGAGGATTTAACTTGTATGGTCCTGAGGATGACCATATATTGGTCGAAACGTAGATCAATACAAAAAATTTGATTCTCTAAGCTGTTTTACTACTGAACTATCACCAACCAACAACCACTTGCAAGCTCACAAAACAACCATCAAGAATATATTTAATTTTGAATAGACAAAGAGGAAGATTTCAATTCCATTCCAATTATTTTATCTAGTCCCAGTTAATTCATCTTCAGATAAACTTGCTTGTTACTATCTGTGAGATAAATTTTCTGTTCTATAATTCTATTGGTCGGCGGATAACTGGCCAACCAATGGCATTACAGATGGCGTTTTTATCTGTCAGATTGCATACCCGACAGTTTATGAGAAGATGAATAAACCTGCCCTTAGTAATAAAAATAAAGATAGCTATAATAGTGAGGCGCGGCAAAAAAAAAAAAACAATCTGGCATCAAGCACACAAAAAAAATGCCAATATTTCAAAAACTTTTTTTTGACCACCTTGTATTTATTTATTGTCAAAATATCAGCGCGGTCCGCTGAAGTAGGAGAAATTAATAGTTATGTTTAGGCATGCAGACATTATTTTTAAGATAAAATTTAAAATAATTCATAAACGATTTACCATACCATATAAACCCTATTTAAGAGTATGAAGTACATTATGTAAAATCTATTTCTCTAGCCTTGAAGAAATGCCTATCAGACACCATGTATTTTTTTGGTTTGATTTATACAGTATTTTTCTAGCAAAAGGAACAAATAAATAAAATTACAGTTATTAACTTGAAATATATATTTCTAATAACTTTTTTAAAAAATAAGTACATGTGTGATGCAACTCTATTGTATAAAAACGATTGCATTAGAAATGTACCTTTAACAATATCAATACATAGTTTGAAAACTTTTTATATAGGTAAACATCTTGGTTTAATATATTAATTAGCCTAAAATGTTTAATACAACATATCAATGGATTTTGTTTTTTGTTTTTAAGGCAAATTTTAGGACGGACCAAAGTCTTGATAGTTATTTAAATTTTCAATTATTATTTCATAAGGCATTTAAACAAGAAATTGTTTAAATTTATACCAATATATCGAGTGTATAAAATAAAATACATGTACGGAAAAAATACGTCGTAAAAGGTACTAAAAGTAATAAAATTAAAATATTTACAAGAATTCTGGTTTCATTAAGAAACTAACTCTAAAAAGTATAAATTTGTAAAATTAAGTACTAAAACAGCAAAAAAAAAATACACTTTTAAAAAGACAGACAAAAAATTTAATATATCACGATAAACAATTAAAAATCTAAAAATTCGATAATATTATTTCAAAATCGGACAAAAAGTCGTTATTGAAAATTCTATAATAATAAAAATATTATCCGGCTAAAATAAACAAAAATAATTAATAATAAGTAATACAAGAATAAATATTATAAAACTGCAAGACCTACAAAAAACATTATAATAATGGATTAAAAATGATAATAATGCTAAAATCTGATAATTTTTAGAATAACCTTGCAAAATTGGAAAATAGTTTTGCAAAGTTCATTTGGAACACTGTCTTAAATGTAATAAGTCTTGTTGGAATACAAGTAAAATTGTAAATTCCCAAAATAAAAGGAATAAATCGTAACACAGTAGATGGAATATAAGTAAAAAAAGTAGCTAAGGAATGTAACTGATAGTCTTAAGTACATTTGCTCAGTTCAATATCTACATAAAAAGTAAGGTGAATTTTCAACAAAAAAAAATATCACAAAAGGACTGACCAAAAACAAACCAAAATTACTTACTAATTTAGCTTTCCATTTGCTGCCATTAAATTTCTCTTATATTTTCGCCCACCTTACAATTTAATCAACCCTAATCTCTTACTAAAGGTGCAAAATTCCGTCATCCTTGACCACATTATTCGTTCCCTCTTCCAAATGAATGTTCGCCGTCAAGTCTACAATTTCATCCTGGTCGAATTTGTCGTCTGGATCGGAACCGCCAGTCGTGTGGGACTGTTGAGAACCGCTGGACATGTGGGAATTCCTACCGAAACTGCCACGTCTCACTGGGCCCACTGTTCTTTGATTGGCTGGTTTCACAGTTATGATTAAGTTCGAACTGTTGGCTATCATCATATCAGTGACCTGAAAACATATTTTTGTAAGTGAATTGGTTCAAATAGTCACCAAAACTTCATTGATGTTGAAGGCAAGAGGAACTGGCATGGCATCCAACTGCACAATTTGGCTAAATGCTTGTGTTTTTAATTTTAAACGAGGCCCAAACACCAAAGAGGGCGGGCGTTTTCGTGTTTCTTGCGATAGGTGTAATTTATTTTACTGTAAAGACTACTAACTACGTCCGGAGCACTAACAATCCTTAATAGGTCTGTCTTGTTTTATTGTAATGTCTGTAAAGCCAATTCTCCTGATCAGCAGGTATCTAAACATTATGACATGCTCAAGTCTGAATTACTTCGAAAGAAAAAATACATTTATTCTCTTGAAACAGTATTCGAAGATGCCAAACTTGGTTTTGAAGACGAAATCAGTCAGCTGAAACTGGATAATAAAATGAAGGACTATCATATAAAGCGCCTTCAAAGACGAACCCAAACGTTGGACAAGGAAGTATTCCAGGCCGAAAGTAACTATGAAAACGTTATCCAGTCGCAAAAAGGAGAGTTATCCCATAGTAAAAAAAAATATCTGATCTTTTAGAAAAGAATATTTGCCTATCCGATGAAAACCAAAACTTGTTACTGAAATTCAATGTCTGTAATCCAAGTTGGCAGACCTGATAAATCTGAAGAATGGTTTGTTGGACCAGGTTTCCTCGTTAACTGAGGATAATGATAAATACGTTCAGGATCTAATAGTCTTGAATAAGAAGTTAATTTCAAGTAAACAGGTCACAAGTGGAGATGAACGGTGTACCCAAAATGAGTCAGTTGCATGCAATGATGCTGTTGGAAGGAACAGATTGTCCATTCCTCTGGACCAAAAGGTTGATTTTAACGCTCACACCCATGAGAGCGAGAGTGAACTTGAGACCCTCAAAAAAGAACTGGAGGAAGCAAGAAAAATAATTCAAGTCTACAATACCACAGATTCTTATGATGGGGGATAAATCCAATTCCAAATTTTCAATATACTAATAGACCGTCAGCTAATGACAGATTTTGCTGACCGATTTTCACTCTACGTGCATCCCAAAAAATCTTACAACATTTTCTTCCCTAATAGTGCCTCCATCAAAAGTAATACCGTCCAATGAACATTTAAACATTAAAATATTAGTTTTTGAGACATTAAAGACTAGAAGGTTTGCATCGCACCATTCCTTTATTAATGCCAAATCACGCTCTATAATGGTTGAAAGAACCTGCGAATCCTTATGTCCCCAGAGAATGGTCGTATGGTACAATGGTACAATAGCAAACAGTTTACACTGATGAAACTATTAGATTACTTGAAAGTTTATTATCGTATTTTTGATAAGTTATTGTTCATAATGAATATCCACTTGGAATAATGCACTCATATCGGTGTCGACCTTATTCTCGAAAGAATTCAAGCTCTGTGCGGTGACTGTAGAATTTGACAGGCTGTTCCATGGGAGACAATTCGATTCGCTAGGAAGTTCCTTCTTGGAAGCTTGGCGGTTTTTCCCTGCACAACTTTAAACTCGACTTTAAAGTATGTTGTCATTGAAGGTAAAGATGTCAAGGTTACAGGAGTATCCATCTCGAATAATCTTGTATGTCTCGATCAGGGCCAGTATTCTCGTACTCCAAATCATCTGCAAACTTCACAAAAACTCCCAATATTGACAGCGAGGCGAGGTCGTTTATGTACAGGGTCTGTTCCTCATAATTAGTGCGGCTCTTACAACTTAAACAAAAGAAAATACAAAAAAAAAGTTTAATACAAAAGTCGTAGGTAGGGTTTTATTTCTATTATGTTTTGCACATGTCAAAATGGGCCGATGACAGGTGCCAACTGTCATAATGACAGCACTTGCATTTTTGGAAATAGAACACCCTGTATATTTTTGGTTAGAATGAAAGATTTTTTTTTTTCTGATTCCAAATATACCATATCTATCATCCTAGCTAAAAATATACAGGGTGTTTCATTTAAAAAATGCCGGTGCTGTCATTATGACAGTTGGCACCTGTCATTTGCCCATTTTGACATGTACGAAAGATAATGGAGATAAAACCCTACAACTTTTGTATTTAACTTTTTTTTGTATTTTCTTTTGTTTCAGTTGTAGGAGCCGCACTAATTATAAGGAACAGACCCTGTACAGTAGAAAGAGCACTGGACCGAGCACTGAACCCTGTGGTACTCCTCGAGTTACATTCAGAATTTCGGAGTCTTCTCTGTTAGGTATTCATACAACTTGCCTTCTTCCCGATAGATATGACTTAAACCAGTTTAGCTCCTTCCTCCGGACGCCATAATCATTCAACTTCCGCAGCAGTATTTCGTGACTTACGCAATCAAATGCCTTTGAAAAGTCACAAAACACTGCCGCAGCCCTCTTGCCATCACTCAAGCTAAAGAAAAGCCTTTCGAGTAGAGAAAATACTGCTTCGTTTGTGCCCTCGCTTTCCTGAAATCCGAACTGATTTGATGACAGAATGTTGTTATCATTTAAGTAGTTAACTAGCCTTTTTTCACGATTTTCTCTATTTTTTTTGAAACGGTGTTAAGTAGAGAAATAGGGCGATAAGCAGAAGGGTCTTCATTATCTCCCCCTTTGTAAATTGGGAGGATTACTGCCACTTTAAGGCAATCTGGAAATTCACCCCTACCAAAGGAGTTGTTTATGCTGTTCACAAGGGCAGCCAAGGCATCATCTGGTAACTTTTAAAATATTTTCAGCGACATATTATCCACGCTCGATGAGTTCTGTTTGTTAATGTCTCTCATAACCGTCTCAAACCGTCGGTGAGTTTTTCAGCAATAGAGCAATAAAAGCGATTTAGTTCCAATGGATTGATATTTATCTCCTTTGCCAATTTTGGTTGTTTGCCTCTAATTTCACCTATAATCTTCCAGTACTCTCGACTGGAGTTATTTGCATTTGCCACTTTTTCGTCGTAGGCACTCTTAATTAACCCTTCTATAAAGCTTTCGAAAGTCAAGAAAATACTGGTTAAACTATGCGGAGCTCGTACATTTTCTAAGTGTATGCAGTGACCTTAGTTTTCTACTTGATGTCCTTATTCCTTTTGTGATCCACAATTTTCTGGTTTTTTGTTTTATCGTACGTAAGGGAAAACTCTGGATAAAAATTCTTTGCACAGATTTTTGAAATATTTCTAACGGGTTTGTGGAGTTTTGTATATTTTCCCAGTCTATACCAGATGCAGCATTTCGAAATTAATTAAAATTTGATACGCTGAGGATTCGAGTCTTCTTCCTTTGTCTCGCCTTTGGTTGATCATTATTGCTCAGGCTGAATTTTGTCACAAGAGCTTCATGATCGGAGATACCTGAAGGAATAACCTCACACGTAAGATTATTTTCCTAAAGTTACTGCAAATATAATCGACTAATGTCGCAAAGTGTGAAGTAATTCGTGTAGGTTCTTTAACAAAAACACTGATATTAAAACATGCTAGCAGGTTAGTTAGTGATCTTGTATCCACTGAATCCTTATTATTAAAGTCTATATTCAAGTCCCCCGCTAAAAGTATATTGGCTGTAATTGGTAGTTGAGACAATAACATTTCCAGTGACTCTAAGAAGTCTACCACACGTCCTAAAGGAGGTCTGTATAAACACACCAAAAATGTATTTAGTTTTGTTATAAAAACAATTGAAAATTCAATTGTATTTGTCCATATTTACCACATCAAATTGTTCCAAAAAATTTCTATGGACTAAAACAACCGTTCCGCCATAACCTTCACTTCTGCTAAATTTAGATACCACTCTATAGCCCGACAAACAGCACAACTCATCCTCCTTCAACCAATGTTCAGTAAGTAGTACGAGTGGTGGCCTATTTAAGTCATCTAATAAAACTGATAAGTTATTCATTTTCTCTCTTGCTGACTGAATGTTTAAGAGAAATAAAGATAAGGATATGTCGTTGTCATTTTTAAGACTTAGGTTTGCCTTCCCTAAAGTATTCTTATAAGTTCTGTCGTTATTCTCTAGTCTAAAAATGATTCGCTATATAGCAAGAAATTTTTTCGCCTATTTTAATTTTTGCTCTAAATCTGTTGTGTTGCTTCGGTAAGTAAAGGATGATGAGTTTAGGAATGAATTATTATTAATAAATATGTGTCCATTACCCTGAGCTTTTATAAATTCAAATAGTTCAATATTAATTTGGTCTATGAGGCGATTCAGCACTGCCCTGTTTCCCCATAAGGGAAAACATAAGACTTTAGGGTTGGTATAGCTACTTATTTCAGTCAATCGTTCGAGAATTGACGTATTCATTCTTCGTTTCTAAGCCCACCACTGATAATAACATAATCAGTCTGCATAAATCCTCTGTAATATTCTCTAATTGAGCATTGTGTTTCACAATTGTCACCATGCTGAATTTTTCCAGAATATTATTCTTTTCCAGAGTCTTATGGAGATCAGTTATGGAGCTATCGCCAATAATCAACATATTATGATTTTTAGCACTCAGTTGCTCCCGTTCATTTTCTGCCGTAGCCTGAACGATTTTTTCTTCTTGTTGTTGGTTATGACTTTGGTCTGTTGAGTGCTCATTTACCTCCATTGACCCCCCATTGCTGCCTTCATCAAATGTTGCCAGTTGATTAAGCAAGGTTTTTAGTTCAAAAATTTGTTTTTGTGATTGCTTGTAATCGTTCATATACACTAAGTTATCCTCAGTTGGTGGTGTCAGGAACTGGAATACCTCAGCGTGACGACAAGAAAAGCTAAAAACACCTAACCAGCTGAGGATTGGAACCTTTATAGGTACCAACTCAATTAGTATAAAAAAGTCGTACGACAAAAACAAAGAAATGCCTGAAGAACAATTTCGGGAAATTGGTATCCTGTGTAAGGAGGATGGCACCTTCACTGCCAACCTTCAAGAAAGTACAGAGTTGCGTCTGAAAGTTTCTTGGGTTTAGGGATAGGAAAGAAAACCAATTAGTCTT